CCGCAGGTCCACGGCATTACGAATGATTCCCGATCAATCCGTACGAAATTCAGCCCGTCAGCACTTCAAATGCACAAACCGCAAAACCACCTCAACCCATTGTCCACTCAGGATTTTGGGCAATTTCACCTTAATGTCAGCGCGCAGCACATGGTCGAACCATATATACTTACGATTACGCAAAACCCAGTTAACTGATCCTGTGCCTGTCTGAATGAACAGTGCGTTGTTCAAGATGCTACAAGACGGTTTAATGCTGCGGACTGAAGACAAAAATAATCGCTATAATATACCCAGGTGATTTATCCCCTCTGAGTGTATGGACTGATTTTCGATGTATTTTGGTTTCATTTACACCAATTTTGTTGGATTCGAAGGCATCCTTCCTTAGGCAGACAGTTGTCCACCGTCCAACAGGACCACAAAGATATCTCCGACCCTGTAATCGGACGTTGTGGCCTATGCCTGAGAAGAAGTATATTTCCATCCCATTACGGCGATATCCGTATCTCTTTCGAGGACTCCCACAAGCTGCACTTGATGTGACGAACAAGGCCCACTGCAACGCAGAGGTGATCCACCTGCAAGAGTTGAACAGCACAGTCTTTCAGGTAGATGGGTAGAGTTGGTGAGATTAGTCGCCCCTTATGGAGGGCAGAGATGACAGCAAAGAAGTCCCGCTCTTCGCCAATAACGCGAACTTAAATCCCCGATGAAACAATGTATCTTAGGTTTCATGCTGTCATGCAATATAATCAATCGGTCCTGGGCAACCCCAGCGGATAGCCAGAAACAGAAGCAAAATCGACGACACAGGCCGGTAGAAGGAAGTATGGTGGTCAAGGATTCAATAAAACGCTAAGTTGCAATCAAAACACTGTCAACCGAAATTTACAGGGATTTGTTCTCTCGTATGCTCTCGTACTAGAGATAGAAGCTATGGAGGACGACTACGATGAGTTTTTCAGAATTTCGGAGACTTATGATTCCGTAGTTTTTACACCACCGTCGGTGCAACAGCATCACTACAGCAGTTTTTAGGTGGGGCCTCAGGCTTACGTCAGTAGCCGAAGACGTCTGTTATAACAAAAATCGCTACCAGACAACTTGTTGTTTTTCTCGCCCCCGCCATAGTTTGAGTGTGGTTTTGTGGATGTAATCTCATCCGCGCATGGTATGCTTATGCACACCAGGGGTCCTTCATAATCGATAAGCAGTTTTAAAGAAGCCGAAGAACCTACTAGTCAAGGACCTGCTACGCAGCAGTATCCGTACCCGTCAATATAAATTAATATACTCATGCAAGGTCATATTTGAAAAAAAATTAAAATCATGGGTTAACTGCATAACTGAAGGCAGAAGGTTGGCAATCGACAGGGTCGGTGCAAGCTCATTGGTCGACGTAGAACGTTAAAGTTCATATGCACTCATTAAAATACGAATGTACATCTAGCATTAGAGGCATGTCATTGCCGATAGAAGCGAATATACGAGTTCCAGGAAGCAGTCCAGGAAAAAAAAGAAAATCCGTGAGTCTTGAAGGATCACTCGGGTCATACGTCTGCCGTACTGAAATTCAGTGCTTCTCGCCAACTCTGTATTAAGCGGAGACCTGTATGAAACACATTTCGGTAACACATTATTGTTGAGAAACTGGTGCAGGAATCAAATCTGCACATATGTAGACGACCCCCGAAGGGCAAATTTTTCCAGCGTCGGACCGATCGGTGTGCATTGCGCCCAAAGAGATTGTCGATATAAGAAAATATAC